TACAATATCGATCGCGAGCACTTGCTGCAACGGAATGACATACCATATCCCCGGTGTCCTTACTCGTCTTTCTGTAGTCTCGTTCCCATCCGCTCTTAACTCCGACGTGTAAACGCTGTCGACCAGTGCATCGGACTTTGAGCAAAGTGCACTGGCTCGTTAGAGCGTCTGGTCCACTTGGATCATCCGGGGGGGGTCTCATCCGCACGTGACTGACGCGCACACATACCGCGCCCCTGCTCGAGCGAGTCCCTTCGCTCAGGCAATACCTCCTCTTGTAATTACCACCTGACTCTGGCTTAGAGCTTTAAAATGGCATTATCGCCCTTGTGACATGCAGAATCGGACAAAATCTGCCCTTCTGCCTGCGGTAGCTCACCGTTGGCGGCTATTTGGGCTGCGGTGGTACTCTCCGTTGCAGGAGGCTTATAAAAACGCAAATGTACTCAAATATATGTCAGAGGCACTTTTATATATATATGTCTGACCGCATACATGAATGTTCTACTCATCACCGGTGCGCAGGCGGTCACTTCCTCAGGGAGCGTGTAGATCACGTGCGAATGAGGCCCCCCCGGATGATCCAAGTGGGCCAGACATTCTAGCGAGAGACTGCACATCCCCATTGATGTCCGACGCAGTCTCCGACCGGCGAAGTCCGGGCGCGCTAGAATGGCTGGGGACGAGACTAGTCTTTCTGCGCGACGCCATTACTTATAAATATTGAAGTTGGACGAAAGCAGACAAAAGGGTGGGCGAGATACCACGTGGCCGCCACAAGGGGATCAGCCCGCTTTGATGCGCCATTATCCCGACACTTTGAGCGCCCTCAGTCAGCCGAATTACTCGTTTCCCTCCAGCCCCCTATTGCCAATATTAACCGACAGTCGCATCTACAGATGATGCCCAGCACAATGTCAGCATATTTATCGACAAAATTGATGAAATACAGGTAAAAGAACTAATGTACATTCGTGAACGGGTCGTACAACAAAGTCGTGAGGCCGTCAGAAACGATCGGGCTTCGCAATGACACGAAAGCACGCTCAAGCAGCGTCGCTCGACGAACGCTTTTCGTCCTCGACGCGGATGCTGTCCGGGCGCGGCGAGTTGCGCGCCTTATCTTTCGCCTCATCGTCCGCCTCGTCCTCGATCACCTCGTCGCTTCCGCCGCCCTCCTCGATGGCAGTCTTGTGCTTCTCGAAGTGCGAGCCGTGGTTTCTGTGAGAGAAAAAAAGGGGGATGAGATCTCGGGTGAATTCCTGCGCAACGCTCTGGACGTACTCTGGGCCGATGATGGTGACGACAAGTACGAAGGCGGACACGACGCCGATCAGGATGCCCTGGACTGTGGCATAATCTGGCACGGGGGTGCTGCTGCCAGGGATGGTTGTCTTGAGGTGGTTGCCTCCGGCTGTCAAACTCAGTGAGTAGATTGCATCGTGCCCCAGCTGACCTCGCACTTACTGGCTTCAATCTGCGCGGATGCAGACGATACCATCTATCAAGGCGTTCATTGGCGTGTACCATGCGCTCCATATACACTGTGACTTACGTTTCCGACTTGGTACGCGACACCAGGGAACGTCGCACGGAATCCCGGTGGAGACATCTCGGCGAGCTGAATTGGAATCTGTATGCGAGGGTAAGCTCCGTGCATTTGCCATATACGGCTGATACATACCACACCCCATGCCCCTTGCACACCAAACTGGATGCAGAATGCACCGGCTGACAGGGCACCGAAGCCGCTGGGCACGATCCACAGGGGAATGAATACTCCTATGAGGCAGACGCAAATCCTGTCGCAGAGACTAAGTTTAGCCTGTGAGGAGGGGGCTGAGATGCTCACACTATGGTCAGCCGACGACCAATATATTGACTGATCCAGCCGGCGATCGCGCCTCCACTAATATCAGGTTAGCATCGACACGCTACTTCATTATGACCAAGCTTACGCAATGGCACCCTAGAGATACAAGTCAGGTTCAGTAACTCGAGGTAAAAATAACTGGAAGTAGGACTTACGCAGTTGCCGATGATGGTTGCAACAGTGGCATCATGAGTGCTGAAGCCTTTTGACTTTTCCAGATAAGTGGGGTAAAGATCTTGTGACCCATGTGAAAGGAAGTTGAAACCTAGCAATCTGTCAGTGCCGTACGCGGAGTCCTCAAGGCGGTTGACCCACCAGTCATCAATAATACGGCATAAATACAGAGTATCCAGTGCTTCTTCAACATCTCCTTCGTCTCGTGCAGGAAAATTCTGGTTTTGCTCTTCGTCGAATGCCCGGTGTGCACCCTCGCAGCCTTCGCCCTCAAGAACACCTCGCTCTCGGGGAGCATCATGCGAATGACGCCGGCGAAAAGAGACATGCCCGCAGCCGTCCAGAAGAGCGAACGCCAGCTCGCAGAAACCTCAGGCACGAGGAAGAGGTTGATGACGGCCGCGATCAGATATCCGACGGCGTAGCCTTGCTGCAGGACACCGCTTGCGAGACCGCGCGCCTCGACAGGAAGATTTTCGAGGGCGGTAGACGCGGCGAGGCCCCAGATGCCGCCCATGGCGATGCCGAAGAGCGAGCGGACGGCAAGGAACTGTTTGAATGTCTGAACGAACCCAGCCCCGAGCTCGAGAACGGAGACCATGAGCAGATTGGCAACGAGAGGCCATTTGCGGCCGTAGCGATCAGAGAGGATACCGAAGATGACCTGTGAGAAACGAGTGAGCACCCCTTACGCCCGAAGCGCGTCGCGATGGCTTACGGCGCCAGCAGAACGGAAGAGCAATGTGAGCGTGATAGCAGTCGTCTATGTTTATCATCAGCGATCTGATTCCGGGAACGGTGCCAAGGAGGCTCGTACGATGGTGTTCGTGCCCTTGTCGAACTGGTTCTGCAGGTTCGACACGCTGAGAGAGACACTGAAGAAATCAACAGCGTCGCACGTCCAGGCGAGCCATCCTACGCACCAAGCCATCAGCACAGGCGGCCGCTCGTGATCATCACGAAAGCTATGACATACCTGACCAGAAATGGCCCCACTGCACCCAGGTCAAGGAGCGCAGGACCTGGAGGAGGGGTCTGCCCTCCGCGCGTTGCTCCCTGCGGGGAACGAGGCTGGTGAGGAAGCGGGGAGCCATGGAGGAGAGTGACCGCGCGAAAGAGCGCAGACATGGTCGGCCCTCCCAGGTTTTTATACGTCTTCTCCCACCGTGGATGAGCGTCACTCACTCGCCATACGAATTCTGATCGGGATCAGGCCGGACTTGGAGGGCAGAGCTTCCCAAAGTCAGGTACATCATTCCTCTTCCCTAGGTTCCACTTCTCTCAATGGTCCGTGTGCACCTCAGGGCCCGGGTGTGCAGCATGGGATCTGCGTCTCTCACCAGATTTTTCAGACATTGTGTCTGCACACACCAGCTTCACAGCTGTGCTGAAGCGGGACAGCCAGTGAGACACCATATGTGCGTGAATAGCGGAATGCTGACCCCGCAACTGAGCGTACCCCGCTGCTGCGATCATCATCACGCGGGGCGCACCCCACACTACTGGATCTCGCAGCCAGATCTCTCAATCTAGGAACAGCTTAATTGGTGACTTCACTGCGACTTCAACTATATATCCCTACAGCGAGTGCTCGGCTCTCGAGACTCAAAAAGATGAAACAGACATCAGGCAACCCGTGGTACCACATGACAGAAGATCATCGCGCCTCAGCCTATCATGAGACTGACAGAAAAAGGCTTAGAAACCCCTCGCCTGGGATGCTCCAGCAATTGAGCCTGTCATCCGATTTCGGTGTGCAGTCTCAAGATGGCAACGTTAGCCACCGTCACACGCAACCGCACAGCATTACCGCTTGGCCTTCTTTAAACTGCGTCGAGCACCCTTTTTCTCCTTCCCCTTCGCGCCGCCGTCCTCGTCGGTCTTGCGCTTCTGACCTGCAGCGGCGGTACTCTTCACGGTCACCACCGTCGACTTGCCCTCGGCGCCGCCCGCCGCGAGCTTCGCGACCTGCGTCCCCGCCATGTTCCAGTCCGTCGCAGCATCGGTTATCGCGTATCTAGCGCACGAACAGCCCGGTCAGAACGTGATGACTTCCAATTTCAAAGCGTAGCACCGCCAAAAGGCCAGCGGCAGGACTTACTTGCTCAGATCAAGCGAGTCTATCATCTGCCGCTGCCTCTCGCGCAGCGCACGCGTCGCCTCGCTGCCCGCCTCCTTCAGCTCGTCTTCGAGGCTCGTCTCGACGGGCTTCCAACTTGTGCCGGCCTGTCCCTCCGTGCCGTCATCCGTCGCCACAGGCAATTTCGGCGGTGCTTCGGGAATTGTGGCTTCGATCGCCGCCTTTTGGACGTCCTGTAGGCGCTTGCTCAACTTGCGGACAAGCTTGCCGAACAGGGCGAGGGCCTGATTGACTGGAAGCTGGAGCTCCGCCTGTATGGACATCGCAGAGCTTTACTCAGTATCCGATAACGCGAAATGAGATAGCGAAGAAAAGGGGGCGCGCACCTCGACCTCCTCGATCGTCTTCCGCTGCAGTCCGAGCGCGAGCAGGATAGAGCTCTGCACCGCGCTCAGGCGAATCTCAGCGCCCATGCGTTTCTCGAAGTAGAACGTCGCGACGGCGGGCAGGAGGTCCAGGATGACGTGGTAGTCGAGCATGTTGTTCGCGTACGACTCGAGACGCTTGAGATCAAAGGGCGACATATGGAAGCCGAGCTCCGTCGGGGTCAGTTCGCGCGTAGGATCTTCGTCGAGCTTCTTCACGCCGGCGTTCGCTGCTTCAAGCACGCTCAACGCGGTGACAGACCCAAATTCCCTGAACTTGAAGGACAGGAGGGTAAGGAAGCGTCGCCGGAAATCTGCCGAACGTGCGTTAATATGTGTCAATGCAGAGAGATTCTGATGCTCGGAGCAACGCACCCTTGGCAAATTCGCTCAACCACTGCAGCTCCTCTTCTGTCGACGAGTTCAGCCCGCGGACCATGACGCACGTGTGCTCGCCCGTAAGCTCGCTCTGCGTCTGGCGAAGGTACAGCGGCACAAAGCCCGCGCGCTTCCAGAACCGCAGGAGTTGCGGGGTCAGACCGTACGACACACCAAGATAGTCCAGGGTCTCCGGCCTCCGCTCACCGAGACGTTGAAGAAGGGGTGGCATCGCGTTCACTGCACGCACGGTGGGTCTGTCAGTGAGGAGGCTCGTGCTCTCGTCGATGCGCGACGCGTCCGGGTAGGATTGTTCCGCTTCGGCCTCCTCGTCAAGGTTGAAGTACTCTCCACTGTAGAAGGCGTTGAGACACTGTACCGCACGCGCTCCGTAGCCCATCTGTAGAGGGGCTACAAATTAACCCATGCTCGCACAGGAATCTCAGAACATCGGTGCTACGTACACTTGTGTAGTCTGGATGTGTTGCCACCCGAACAATTCGAGCACCCGAAAGTAGAGCGAACTTGCTCTCCTGAAACTGCTGCGAGATCAACCACGGGATCATATCTCCACCTGCACGATAGCCACGGCTGAGACCTTCCATGATCGCCGCCTTGCTGATACGACCCTCCAGCGCGACTTGCAAAACGACGAGCGGCTCCGGCAGATGGGATTCGTCGTCTTTGATCGGTGGCAGAAGGACAAAAAGATGATGTGCAGGGGCATCCGACAGCAGTTGCAAGTCGTTCGGTTGGTTCTTGTAGTGACTCGCGACGTAGAGTGCCATCATGCGCTGCAGGAAAACCTCCGACGCAGGGTGGTAACTGAACAAGGTATCACGCGCAACGTAGAACAGCTCGCACTCGGATGGATGCGGGCAACCTTGGTGCGTAAACTTCGGTAACACGGACGCGTCGAGACAGAGCAGGCCGTTTAGCCACTTCTCCACCTTGTCCCCTGCGGCATATCGAATCGGCGTCTCGAGCTTGATCTCGCGGAGGGTGCGGGCCTTCGGTGGTGCCCTAGCTGTTGCCTTTCTGGAAGAGGACGCCGTTGGAGCATCTTCTTCAGTGGCCTGCGCGTCCTTCGTGAGCGATGGTCGAGTGCTCTCACGGAGCTGTTGGATTAGTTTGAGGGACAGTGAACGGCCCGTGCCCTCATAACCATTGATAGTAGAGGCCATGAACACAAGATAAGGGCCGATAAGGTTGCGGACAAGAGGAAGAGGGATAGCTGCGGCTTCGTCGATGATGACAAGCTCAGCCTGTCCGAGGACGTGGGCATCTTCGGGCTGGATGTACTGGATCGTCTGGCGGTGTTGGCGGAAGATGTTTACACGGACAATGGCCTTGTTGAAATCGGGGTTGGTGCTCTGAGCGATGTCGTAGTCAAGGTGTTCTTCGTAACCCAGGGCGTCGAGACCCTTAAAGATGAAGTCAAACAAAGTCTTCAAGTTCTCTGGTGTGGGACTGGTCACGAAGATGTTCGAATATCCGTGTGCTATCGCAGCCGCAATCGCCAAGCCAAGAGCAGCAGATTTTCCGCGACCACGACCGGCGGTGAGGGTCACAGTCGATGAGAGTGTCTTCTCGGCAATGGCGTCGACAAAGGTGAGAATAGCCTGCGCCTGGTCGATTGTCTTGGCAAGTTTCACAAGTTCACCAACGGGCTTGGTATCTGCGAGACTGTCCTTCAGATCCTTCAGCCCGGATTCTTCCTTGCCCTTGCCACGATCCTCCTCTATAGGCTTGATGTCTTTGCCCCGAGATATTGGTAGCACATTCAGCTCGTCGTCGAGGACCAGGCAATCATCGCATGACCCGAGGGAGAGAATAAATCGTTCGTTGAAACGCGCTGTCACTGTGTCATGGGCGGACGTCCTATATCGCGAATGGACGTCCTGTGGGGCGTGAGCTCGCGAGGCAATCCTCCAAGGATTTGACACGCACCATTGTCATAGTATACAACTGACGCAACGAAGTCATTGTTTTCAACAGGAGCACGACCAAACCACCCCCTTCCACCGTCTCAATTGTCCTTGCGAGCAGGTTCGGCGTGACAGCCTCGAAATCTTGGAGGACTAGCATACCATATGTGTTACCCAGAATCTTGTGGGACTCCTTGTAGTATCTGTGGGACATTCATGAGTAGCGAGCACAGAGAAATAAGAACGAAGCCGTACGTGTAGCGAATGTCGGTCACAGTAATGAAGATCTCAAAGGGATCTTGCTCGTTTGGCTCTCGAATTCCTCGCTTGACATCTCGCTTTATCTTTGCTTCTCGCTTCTTGCGATGACTGTGGGCGACGTCGCGTTAACACAACATAGTCCGAAGGTGTGGCTGCAAAGCGTACCTTGTGAAGCCGAGATCCTTCTTGTAGCACCAGAGCACAGACGGTCGCGCGGACACTCGAGCTTGGGAGAGTAAAAAATGCAAGTTAACAATCTACCACAGTCAATTTTACGAAGCTGGATGAAGACCTGAAAATCACGCACCTGGTCCCGTCCCTTGTCTCCTACGAGCACTATGAACGAGCGGTGGTTCTTCTTCACATTGTTGTTGGTGAGGATGGGTATCCGCGGGTCGAGTTGTTTCCGCATCACTATACAACTCTTTTGGGTGCTAGTTATCCGAATAGTCGAAAAACACAGCGAAGAGGGAGGCCGCGGGCAGTGGACGACAATATTTAGAGCCGGCGCTTTGGGCGCCTGCCATAAATTCTGATTTTCTCTTCGCGATTGGCTCGCCGTGCCGAGCGCTAGACATGTGTATGTCCGGTTATGGAAGGTCTCCACGAAATTAATGGCGGGGGGGATGAGTAGATAAGCGTGACGTCACGCCGCCTTTTCTCTGCATGACCATCACTCGGCAGACTTCGAGAATTGGAGCGCGGCCGTGATCCACTGCTGGGATTTTTCTCGCGCGCAGCCCATCCAGGCCCTTCCTACTATGTCGTTCTGCCACGTCGACCTCGACCATGACCGTCACGTCCACATCGACTCTTGCCTCGAGCTCTAACCCGACCCTGGCTTTGCTGGACACAAAGCTAGGGTCGTCTTCACCTAGACGACGTTCCGCATCCCTCTCTGATGTATCCATCCTCACTCGAACTCAACACAACGGTACGGAGGACGAACCTGAGCCTCCAAAGCTGCAGGACGTGCCCAAGCCCTCATCGTTTGGAGCCCTCCTGTCGCGAACACTGCCCAAGTATACCGGCCCATTCCAAGTTGGCGTCCGCGACCTCGAAGTACCGATATCTCGGCAGACGTTTGGCACCTTCAGACATAAGCATTTGCCCCACTCGGATGCAGGCATCACAGTGGACACCGTGCTGTTTACACTGTTCTATCCGTGTCGAACACAAGAAAGGCCTAAACATGTCGTTTGGTTTCCTAGGTGTGTTTTATTCCTCATGCTACTGCTCATTCCTTCAGCTCTTCCCATTCAACCAACGCGTCTCGACTTGCTTGTTTCAAATCTTAAGCGTGGCTGTGATATACTTACTATCTTTCACACCACAGACTTTCGCAGACGATAGACGGATTCTTGAAGATGGCGAAGCGGACGCCCAATGTCTGGTACCGCATGGTGGCATGTGAGTTCATCTTCTTGCGGTTAATTCAGCCCTACTGACCTGCATGCACATAGATCCCGCCGCCGCCGCCATCATCCACGGAACTACCTTTCCAGCAAGCAAGGGCGCACCTCTCGCTACACCCCCATCGTCTCCCCAGCAATTTTCCTTTCATCGAGACGGCAAGTGGCCGTTCATGATATTCAGTCACGGAGTCGGCTGCTCCCGACTGATGTACAGCGCCTTCTGCGGGGAGATGGCGAGTCGAGGCTTCATTGTCGCTGCGCTGGAGCATCGAGACGGCACCAGCCCGAGTTCGACCATCGCAACCGCAGACGGGAGGACCACTACTTTAGACTGGTTACAGTGGAGTGATCTTCAGTAAGTAGTGGATTGCTTCAGAGGGGCCCAGAGGTATTGACGCGCCTCCGCAGTTGGCCGGAGCTGTCAGAACAGCCTAAAGACGACAGTATACTTCGACGTGAACAAGTCAAGTGCCGCGTCGCTGAAATAGAGGCCGTCATAGACACCGTGCAGCGGATTTCTAAAGGAGAGGCGCCGAGCTGTTTATTGGAGCTCAAGGACGACATAGACTGGTCAACCTGGCAGTGTGTCGATGCAAGGAGCCCTGTTCTTACAGGCCATTCCCTGGGTGGCGGTGCAGCGGTAAGATGCCAAATCTTGTTCCCTTTCAGCCCCAGCTGACTCCGCAGTTTGTCCTGTAGCTTGCCGTGTCTGCCAAGAATTCGTATGATTATCGAGCGGTGATAGCATTCGATCCTGCCGTCCGACGTACGTCGCCTTAACTCTATACATCACTTTAGCTCGAGTCTGACATCGTCTCGTCAGGATTGATCCCTTGGAACTCCTCCCTTCCCCACCCGATCCTCGTTGTCAACTCCGAAGAAGTCATGGTCCAACCCGAGTTCAAAGATCTCTTCGCCCAGTTTGCGCATACGGCGACCGCAGGGTTGCAAGTGTACATGATCGGCGGGTCGACTCACCCGTCGTTCTCGGACGTCTTCCTCATCCTGCCGCATGCCATCAATAAGATCACGGGCCTCGGCTGCCCTGCGCGTGCCGTCATCGACAAGATCGTACACGCGACGGAAGAGTTCCTCACTGGCAAAGGTGGCGCGGGCGGGCAGGTCAGTTATGACGAGGTGTACCGCGACGAGGAAGACATGAAGTGGAAGATGGCGATCAAGGGAAGGAAGAGATTCTTCAGGAGGAGTTCCGCTGAGAAGCAGGAGGGCGGGAATATGTACAAGGCTACGGGTAAGCCAGGGGAGCTGGCGCTGTATCGGTTTTAGCGACATTTTTCACAAGCTGGGACTTGTACGGGCCGGATGATGATACCTCTTGTACTATGTGTATCTTGCACGTACCGCTATCCTTTATGTGTCATCTAGATTTTCATGGTATTCTTCAACGTCGCAAAGGTGCAGCCTCGGCGACGACGTCTGCTCTAAACAGAGATGTGCTTTATTCTTCGATAGTCTGGGTGGAAGATGTGCGACCGCGCAGGTAGACCCCAGTACTACGACGATTTCACGCGTTCCATGTAGCCATGATAAAGTAACACTATTGCGATTGTACTATACCAAATACGTGAGCTAGGTAAACTCTAGATCTTAGGTGGTACTATGAATTGTCCTGCTGTAGCTAATTGCACCCGTTCCAGATCCTCAGACGAACGTATGAGAAGTATATCGCCACCATGCACGAGCCGTCCGCGTTCAGGACCCGCATATGCGTGGAGGTTTAGCTGCACGGAGGAATATTAAGATTGTGACTTGAAAAGTGACAATTGTTTACTCACGAGTAGACGGCAGCCTACCACGGAGTCGACGGCTAACCCCACTCTGCTTAAAGAGGTAAGTTTTCTGCCGACAGTCAACAGCAGAGGAGAGTTACCCGGTGAACACATTTGTAAAGGAATGCTGTTCTCCATATGTCAGCGAATGATAACTGCCAAGACCATTCTGCGGGCCTACCGTGTCCACACGCCACAGCGCTAGGTTTACAACGGCAAAAGTAAAGCTACCAGCGCACGCAAAAGCGGAGTCGCGCAGCATTAACCACTCCAGAGGGGAAAGATTGTCTCGCGGGCGCGGCATCGCAGCGATGGTTCTCCCCAAGACGAGAGCAAAGAGCAGACTCTCGAATAAAATCTTTGGGAGCCAAAATGACCACGCCCACTTAGCCGGGATATTGACGTCGAAGCAGCGGCTGTTCTCGCCCTCCGGAACTGCGACAAGGTCGAAGAGGTAAGCTTACAGAGCGATGGCTCGGTATGAAGAGCCTGACCAGTGTTCACTGTAATTATCCGCGCGAAAAGTACCGTGAAGAATACCATCACACTAATCAGTAGCAGAAATAGTGTGAAGCGAAGTCTTCTGTCGCAGCGATATAGTGCGTTGATACGGAGGATAATCACGGCTATTCACTAGCTTCAGTGCCGCTCTGGCATAGTAACATATGGTTCTTACTAGTAGTCAGCCCGTAGATCCCCACATAGACGTAAGGGACGCAAACGGAGCAGATTGTACACCTGCTCAGAATCAACAGTAAGCAGCGAGACGGTGTTATCGAGAACACTGATCCTACATCTATTGATATCTCAGTGTAAGACCTCCGAGTCATTGTTAAACTGGTTCAAGACGTACCTCATCGGTTATGGCGATGCCTCTCCATGCTAGTTTGAGTTAGACTCGGCGAGCCGGATAAGGACTAATTTGACGTACCACAACAAACCGCTATACTGAGAAGGGTTAGATAGTCAGTAATGCTCCAGAGGTCAATTCTGAGAAAGCGTCAGTTGTACATTAGGCTCACTAGCCTACAAAGAGTCATTGAGCTAGTTCACCATTTGCGAAGCAATCGAAATAACTCACGACCCGTAACGACACTGATTTCCAACGCTTCATGAGTACGACAACGATAATAGAATGTATCTGTGGTACTTACAGGGGCGTATAAGAACCGGGTTGTCCAATTACCGTGGATCCATATAAAGTTGATCTGGCGCGTGTCAGAATATATATACGGCAGGCGGCACCATAGTCTGACTTGCCTCGTCGGCGAAGGTCAAGGCTAGGACAGCGATGTGGGCAGCTTCTTGGATTGAAGCAAAGAAGTACTCACTCCAGTCATATACAACGAACGCGACTGCCGCTGCTGCAAGCCACGAAGCCAGCACGAGTCAGCAAGCCCGGACTTTTCCGACACAAGCCTTTCGTTGACTTACTCCAACCATTCGTGATAATACGAGAATCGTAAGCAACTGCCCAGTCGCTGAAGTCGACCATCTCCACCTGAGCGATGAGGATTGTGCATCCCCCAACTCCCGCCGTCAGCGTGGATGTTATGCGGTCACGGTGACGGTGGCTTCGCTGCGGCGTGGGAGACCTCCGTCACCGAAAGTTCTAGATAATTGAGTCAGTGTACTTCGCCTGCAAAGTTACCAGCCGACGGTGTCAACCTGTAGTGGATGGAAACTAGAAATGTCCCGCATTCCAGCGCGAACGCGTTCCTCGGACACGCACGCGAAGCGAGCGTTAAGTTCACCTTCAAATTGGCCCGGATGCGGGCTGAGCGCTGATTAATGATCCACCTTATTACTATGCCTATATCTGAGACCAGCTCTATCGTGTGAGCACGAACTACTCGGATATTCACATGTTGTATCAGAGCGCAGCTGCGAAGTCCCAGGGTAATTGGCAACGCACGGGGCAGCGTTTGTCCACCCCAACCTGTGTAACGCTCGCAACCCGGCGTCGTGGCACAGCTACTCAGTATACAAACCGCTGCGACCACACGATTAATTATCTGTTCCGCGAACATGACTCCTACCACATGGGCTGACTTATACCCCAAGCTACTGCTGTAAATTTTGGACTTGAACGGCGGTCACAGGTCGCAGGCCTGGCCTCAAATCCGTCGCTTGAAGACTTCTGTCACGGCTCACAGAGGGGCTCGCAGGTGTGTGACAAGTACTATGGGTAGGCCGATTTTTTTGGGCCTGCGGCACGCCCATACAAAACCTCCAAAAATCGGTCGGCCACTCCGCGGCGGCTGTTGCAAGTCACCGAGGCCTCCGCCGCCACGATTGTACATAGTCACAGTCACACCCGCTGCCGTGCAAGTCGGTAGTTCGCATCCCGATTGATTCTCTGAGTCCCCTGCATCACATACTCCGGTAGTACCACTAGACAAATTTTGTCGTTCGACGCACGACTCGGAGCCCGCAGCCTACGTTGTCGCATGCAAGGATTAGTCGAAGGTAATTCGACCTTTCCTATTCACCGTCCCATGCAGCGAAGCCTCGATGACGTCCTTCTATATTTCGCTGGCTCTCCAGCAAGTGATATTCTTTGTGGCAAAACGACACTGACAAGTCTGGATTAGCGCGCGCGCGTGCGCTGTAGACTCTCACGGGAATATGTAAAAGACTATGAGGA